TGATGATTTCCCCAGGATCTTCAAGGAATTTGTCTACAAGTTGCTTGCTGGATAAATAGATACATATCCGATTATTGGATATTCTGGAGCAGAAAAGGATGTTTTTTGGGTCTACTATAGGACCTAGTCTTAGCAGATAATCTTGGATTTTTAGTCCATCGACAGCGTTGAAGATGATGGCTTGCTCTTTGTTTGGGTATTTGGTAGAACTTTGACTTAATATATCAGAGTATGATTTTGCAGAGTTGGTATTTTGTGATGTGTTTGGCGAATTCATGACTGTTTTATTATTTTATCAGGCAATTTGATGTTGTTATATTCTGCGGCATCCCTGAATACGGTCCTGTCCACCGAATTCGGTTTGTTTTGGTGCGCGATTTATACAGACGCAACCAATGGATGGAATTCCGATGGCCTAGGAATTTGCAGATTGTCGTGTTGTATTGTAGAATTGAAGGCTGGTACTCACAGTCTATGATGGCTTCAATATTGGCAGGTAGTTAACTTACACACTGGATTTTAATACGGCGTATTTCACTACTTTTGCTTGATTGTATCCGAGCACGATTCACTGGTTGCATATGGCAAAGCGATCAGGAACGGACTCCCCTCGTGTCGGTCTTGTTTAGTCGCGTTTTACGGGGTTTAACCTTGATAAAACCGTCAGGGAGTGTATCGTCGTTAGTGGAATGATCGCTTGAATTATTTAACGCTCTGTTAAGATTTACAGCTTTGTGATTGAAACGTTTACTACTAAAGAAGATATTTCAATACATGTGGTTTTTATTGACAGACAAGAATGAGGGGTTAATGCTATTATAGACAAGTAACTCGATATACAGCGGCAAGAAATCCTGTCCAGCAACAATACGGAGAAATATAATAAGTGCTGATCTGCAATAAGAGGGTGTACAGATATTTTTTTGGAGTAACTTTATTACATCATCATCGACATGATTAGACCGTAGATAGACAAGCTCTTACACAGCATAGTTATGTTGTGCCTGAATGCTGTTGTACCTCCCCCCAAGTCCATGACTCAACAAAAGAAAACGTGATATGAACTACCAATTTCAGAATGATGACTGAGGGCGGTGTGAGAACTTGCTGTCGCAGAAGACAAATTAGTCAAATCTATTTGCTGTACAATAACATTATTCTTAGGATAAACTGAATTGGATGGCAGTCTGTATAACTGACGACACAAAATTCAGTTACTATGACGTTGCCTTGCACTTTGCAATGACAAAATTTATCGATTCAGTCACTTACATCCTCATATAATTTGTTGAAATTACTGCTTCCAGTGCGTTGGCCCTATGTCTGAACGCGACATCACAGTGTATTGAGGGAGACACATGGTTCTACAGCCGAACCCCACAAGTGGAGTTGAGCCTCGAATGTCCTGCTCGGTATTTGCAGTTGAAGGCCCCTGCCAAAATAAGCAGTCCCGAGCAGTCCAAAAGGACTTTCAGATCGAAGAATGGTATACCTTCCGCCGTATTAACCACCACAAACGCCGATTCAATGATTTGCGTGTCAGCGATTGTGCTTCTGTAGTAGTCAGCCCCACGTTTGACTAACCCCGCTAAGCCGCCGCCCGTCCAGTCAACCTGCCATCATGGATAACATCATAATTCGAGATAACTCAGAAGTCTGCTGGATTGAGCAATGTTTTCTGAAGTAATTTAGATTCATCCGAAGGTTTTTGGAAAGTGTGCCTTAGACCTAAGAAGTTTCAAGAAAGAAATTTAATAAATCTAATCATATAATAGCTGCAGAAAGATCGCGTGCAAAACCTGAGAAACACTAATCAGTAGGCTGATAATTTGTTGCCGGGATCTAAGCCCGATTGATAGGTCCACACTTTTCGCGCCTAAGCAGGGCTGAACTGAGGAGGTATACAGGAATGTTGAGTTGGTTACTTCCGCGTATGATTTGTTGCACCCTGGCGCTATGACCTGTAGGTTATGCTTGGGAGGAAACCTGCATATCGGGCTATTTGTGGATTAGTTTACGCGCCTATGTCCAGTGAGACGGCACAAACATCTCATGAGATCTGAAGCCCATACTTAACATTTTGGAAGTGCAGAGCCCTATGACTGCGCGTGACCGTACCTTTGGCACCGATGACACTGTTCAATGAGTCTGGAGTTCTTCGGAATTTTGACTTTGATACCAAGTCCCAGCAATTCGTTCTTGTTCAAGATCTGCTGAGGCTTTTCAATCTCAGACAGTATCACTACCCAAAGGCATGGGTGTCACTACGTTTGAGACGAATTATACTGAGTGACAAAAAAGGTAAACACCTATGTATGTTTATTCGATTTTAATAATTTTTGGCATATGTGTTCAGTGTCCCTTACTAGTAAAATAATTTTCAGCTTGATTCGTCAACTGACTGCAGAAGCTGGTTCAATAATATGCCGAGGATCCACGATTTCTTATACACTCATTGACACGCCTGGGCATCGTGCTGATAAGGTAGTCGATATCCTGTTGGGGCATCTCATTCCAGGTTACTGGAACTTCGTGGGTAAGAGCTGCTAAAGTCTGTGGAGGGTGTTTCAAATTTAACAGCCTGCGCCCTATCATGTCCCAGACATGTTCAATTGAAGATAGGTCAGGCGATCGTGACGGCCAAGGTAAGACTAATGATACTCTGGCAACATGCGGTCTGGCATTGTCTTGCTGAAAAATGGGATTTTGGGTGGTGTTAAGGTATGTAATAAGATTAGGCTCCAGTCATATTGCCTCTGATGAAAGTGGTGATCTGCTATCGTAAGCAATAGCACCCCATACCATAACTCCCACGATGTGGTGAACGTGACGCTCTTTGTCAAATTGTGGGTCACGTATTTCACCACGTCGCCGTCTCACTCTTGTCCGACTATCGTGCATCCCCAGACAGAAGCGGGATTCGTCACTAAAGACCACCTAATTTCATTCCCGGACCCATAGAATACCAGAGCAAATGGTTACGCCGATGTTCCACTGTGAGAGGTAGCACCCAATATGTGCGATAAGAAAAGTCAAACTGTAGTATTCGGCAATATACCGTACGGATACCAGCCATCCTTCCATGCTCTTCAAACCACTGATTAGCGATGGCTCGAGTACTACTGAATCTGTATCGCAGAGCCAGACGTTTTAACTGGCGGTCTTGTCGCTCTGTGGTCCCTCTGGGACGTCCTGAACCCCTCACTCGCTGTCCTCGGCTTGCAGTATACTTCGTAAAGATCTGTTGGTCCTCCTAGAAATTTGTCTTATCGATAGAATTCTCCGCACTCTAGGCATACGTAGGTGCTTACCTTTTTTTGTCAGTCAGTATATTTGGAGAGGAGGATATCCTCTCTGTTCCAACCCCTCTTTAATCTCTGACGCATGTGCACCTCGGATTACTACGTGAGTGTTTGGTTCAGATTAAAGTGGAAATGAATGGTGTAGCACGCTCTTTTCATTAAAAAGACGAATGATCTTATGGTAGTCGTCCTCGGTTTTTCGAGTAATCCTATTACTCATGTCGACGGCGCTTACTCTTGATGCCGAGACTCATAGCTGATGGCTTGCCACTTTGCAGACTATCTCAAAACAGTAGGAGTGGCACATTTTGGTGTAGGTGGCTGCCCCAAAGCCTTTGAGCAGCTGCAAGGTGGTGATGATGTAGTCATAACAGTCAGTGGAGCAGCTGCTTGGGAGCACGCTGCGGCACCTTCTTCACCATTTTTAGCAATGACTGGTGTTTTGTTAAGAGGAGGAGGTTTTTTTCATGCGTATTTTTCTACATTTTACGCTGTTAAATCCATCACCCTGAGTCTCGCCATCGGTTGTTAAAAATTTCGGCGTCCAGTGGTCCTTTGTGTGTGATAGTTCTACTGTCCGATCTGACACTGGTTGGTCTGTTTATTAATTGAGATGCTCACGCAGCTTGTATGCACGTTGATTTTACTGCTTAGGGATGCTATAGTCTCGCTTTTTTTCAGCTGAGCTTGGCTTGTTGATTGTTCATCATCATCACTGGAAAACGTGACCCTTTTCAGTGCTCTAATCTAATTTCCAGTTTTCTCAATGAATCCTTGATTTTTGAAGCTGTCATTGATTGGGTCCAGAGAGGAACTCGCATCAAATCCTCCCACTCAAGATCGTGTTGATAGTATTCCTGCTTTGTATTTTGATGGGCAAGGGGAGAGGACTTTTGTAACCAAATGTAGAAAGCGTTATCGATAATTAGTTGTTGAAGAACATATTTCCATACTCAAGGAACCAGGCACGGTTGATGTAGGTTATGCTGTACCCAGTAAAGGTACAGGAAAAGAAATAGAGTCTGCCCACAAAACTTGGGACTTGAAGAGGATATTTGAGCGATAGGATTAACTTCCATAAGTATTTTAACTCTCAAGTAGTTTACGAGTTAATCAAAAAGGTTTGGGGAACGAAAAACTTTGATTCATAAACATTTCCCTCTACAGCAGGATTATGGATTGTTGACTTGTCAACTCGACAAATTTTTACTGAAATCATAAAACTTCCAACTCACTGTTAAATATTCCGGGAGAAAAGGCTAAAGGGCAGCTTTTGTCGCGCTTCAAACTGACACGACTTAATATTTCGGTATTTATTTGGTTGAGATATGTATATACTATATTCAGAAGGTAGTCAAAAATCCCCCAACTCTATTTGTCCTACGTCAAAGGTTCAATAACAAAAGTGCTGTCAAAAGTTTGCAATTCTCGATGCGGCGTACCATTAAGACACCATTGCAACCCAGAATTCCGAAACCCGGTAAACGTAGTAAACCATCAAAAAGCTTGTTTTCTTTGATCGCCTTCGCATTTCTAAACAAATTTTGCTGGGAAAACTTCAGCGGTGCGTGAGGTTTTTGAAGCCCCTGCTCCATTTTGTCGAAGTCAATTAGAATTATGGAGACTACATATTATGAGACTTCTGCTGCGTGTCTTCATGATACATTGGATACCATATGAGTTTATGCTTTTTTGCAGTATACGGATTGGGAGCATGTGAACGATGGCTATTTGAACCAAAAGATGATTGGAGATGTGGTCGGGGACTACTTCTTCATCTGTCCCACCAACGAATTTGCTGAAGTTGCTGCAGAGAGAGGAATGAAAGTTTACTATTACTACTTCACACATGTAAGTAAACAGGGACTGCATGCAAACTTCTGAAACCCATACTACGTATTTTTAAGCCTAAAAAAAATAGATGATATAAGTTTTCCCCTACAAACTCGAACAGATTAGAATAAGTGGAGCCTTTATGTTTACATTAGATACATTAGAGACTTTTTCGCGAGATCCCGTAGTGAATGGAGCGGGAACAGATGTAATTTTCCCTTCCTCTCGAAGTTTTGACAGGTTCAAGTCACACCGGGAGTGGTTAGATGGCGCATGTGGCACAAAATGTTTGTTTTAAGCTCCTTGATAAACTTAGCTGTTTTCTTTGAATCGTAATTAAAATGACCGATCGTTTTTGTGCAATGTACATATATATCAATAAAATCAACCGTTTGATATGACAAGTACGATTCCTATATCTTCGATGACCTTCTCCCTCGTCATTTAAAATCAGGTGGACCTGCAAAGACAAATGTTCAAATGAGATCTCTGTTTTTTAAATGACATCGACATCAGACCTGATGCCCGCTAGTACCTCACCGACGGTTCGCGGTTACCCTTACCACGTGATTTTTTGACAATAGGATGACGTCACATCCATCTTCCCCTATTCCCGTTCTTCGCGAAAATGTGAGTATCAGTTCCCGGTACCGCACTGTGCTACACCGTGGACTCGCGAAAAAATCCTTATTGCATTATTTGTCGCCAAAGTTGCGTTGTTTTAGTGCATACTTTTGACTTATTTGACTCCTATTGCTTACCAAAGTGACAACGTTGTATCAACTTGATAATAATACTCACCAGTGGAAAGATCTACTTAAATTAGGCTTGCGCCGCTCTTTGCAAATTACGCAAGAAGTAACATAGCCTGAAACACGACATTACATGAAAATACTAGCACTTAGCACTTTAAAAAAATGACACTGAAATCGAATTTGATGTTAAAACTGTCAAAAAATTAACTCAAGTCAAGTCCACGTGTAGTAATCCTGACTGACTTTGACGATCGTAGTTTTGCTCCTGCTACCTAGTCTGAAATCGCTGATTTTGTCTATATAAAAGTAAGTCCTTCAAACTTGCGTTTTCAGTAGTAGTTGAGGTTTGATTTGAATGTTGTGCGATGTCTCAGGATTCCAATGCAAGTACTGATGTACGTATTCTTTGAGTGCGAGACCTAAGGAATGTCGGCCTGAAGTATTTGTTTGTGGATAATAATGAAAGGAACATAGGCTTAGTCGGTTTGAGGTGACGTACAATTTGAATGTCACACTTACAGTTCTCTTTTGGTCTGACAAATGATGGCAGAGCAAGTGTTTGTGCCTTTGCTACGCCTCAGACAACACCACATGACGATGCCTATATTCCACTATCAGTCCGATCATGTTTCGTTGCTGTCTAACGCTTGCGCGGCAATCGATTCAGTTCCCCTCAAGTACCATCTACCCCATGTCCAGTAGATACGCTTAATATCAGAAACATTTCCATGTTAACATTACCCAACTTGATAACAATAAATTTTGTTATTGTCGACAGATATTTTTTGCTTGAAGTATTGGCCAAAAGGATCCCACGAAGACGTTTAAATTGGAAATTCTATTTGCGGCAAGCTGCCGATAGGCAAGCCTGCATACCGCCTGTTCATATCAAGGAACTTTTATATTAGCTACATTCGGACCATGAGTTTATTGAGGTAGATGAGGTACTTTGGGATCCGGGTTAAGAATTTGACCCTTTCCTGTACACGTCAATAAAGGGTTGTGAATGTGATTTATCAGTCGCTGCGACCAAAGACATATTATAGCTTAGGAGCATTATCAGGCACCTAAAGAAGTACGAGTATAAAGGGAAGACAGTTCACACGATCCAAACCATGATCGTTTGGCCGCCATATTTGAAAAGGACCGCCAGTTTACAAGACGGTTATTCAACATATCTTCGCAACCAGTATGCATATCTTTAGGTTCTAGAGCTCATTAAGAGCAAACATATTTTTAGATTACACGTTTTTTGAATAGTTCAGTAGATATTAGGTATACCAAGGTCTTCAGTTTTTATCAATCTGTACAGTTCATTATTGATAGAATGAAGACCATATTGCTACAGTTAAAAATTTTATATTTGCAAATACTAAAGGAAGTTTCCCCTAACCTTACTACATGATTGAAAAAACATTGCAATTCTCTTGAAGTCTAGGTCCAGCTACTAAGGTAACTGAACGGTAAGTGAACTAATATGGACCCACAGTTCGAATGCGGCGGGGTTATTACGTAAAAAAAACGATATAATGTCAAAAGACCGACAAAAAGTCAACTTGCCAACTAGATAGTTCCTAGAGTACAAATAGCCCATTCCGCTATTGCTGTCGGTGAGCGATGTGAGCGTCACTAGCGTCATCTGAGGAGAAATAACTCAACGACATGGCAGCGTGCTTGTAGAATGCCGAGATAGTCTGAAACGGTGTTGAAGATTGAAAATTAGTTGAATAGCATCTGGAGAAGTGTGTGGTGATTGTTTATTTTGGCCTTCATGTTTTTTTTATACTCCAACTACATCGAAGGCCTAAGGTCTATACACCCATGGGGTACCGTGGGGCTATAGGGGGATACAAGGGAAAAGGGGGGGGACGCGAGATCCGCAGGGGGTACCTGCTTGTTCGACTTTCGGAGACCATCTTCCATAGCAAAGAGAAAAATTCTCTTGGGACGGGATTCGATCCCTCGCAGTGGCCGGCGGCTGATTAGGAGACCGTAGCGTCTACCACTACGCCACCGCTGCTGCCTAAATGTATATAAAGTCAGTGATATTTGCTGTGTGAGAAAACTATTACTGAATATGCTGCCCGTGAGGTATATTAGCTGGATTAGACGTGTTATTTGTGTTGACCTTTCTAAAGAAGGATTATCGAAAGTTATAAATTCTCTCCGGTTTTTTGCATTTCCAAAAACTTTGAGAAGCATAAAGCGAAATCAGCTCCTTTCCCGCGTTGTGTGGACTCAACTCACGCCACAGAAAAATTTCTATAAAATTTAAATTGCTGAAAATAAAAAATAATGTAAAATGTAATTACATTTTCACGTTAAATAAATATTCCTGTCTGTAGCCTATTTTCTCACCAGTTAGTTGTAATATAGTTCACCAACCAGAGATCTACTTTTTTATCTTTGTCATTTTTCAAATTCATCAAGTTTGCAAATGCGATTTCTAGGTTGGAGCATACATCTCAAGTATGTGTATTTGAGACAAGGGACGAAGGGAATTACCATCAACGCAGATTATAGGCACATAAATTCCCACTATGTAGCTGTACCCTGACGTTTCCTTCCAGCGATAGTGTACAACTTACAGCTTACACCTCCTGTAATGCTATCTCTGGAGCAGATGTTGCATCACATGAGAGCCAAACATTGATAGCTGAAGCGTCGTGATGCTTATGCAACACGTACAGCTACAGAGTGGTTGCAATTGAAGTGGACAACAGCTTATTCTTAGTTGACATCTTATAGAAAAACCTACATAATGTCGCAATGTAATACATAATGTTACTTGTAAAATAATCAATTTTCGGTAGAGCTAAAACCGATTTTGAAGCGTCAAAGGTATTGTATTTACTAATCCTTCTGGCAATTTCGCCAATATTACCACAAAATCGAACTAAGTATTCTAAGGTCCGGTTTTTCCACCCGTGGTTAACTTTCAAGTTAGGTAACTATGATTTGGTTAACTTTCAGCTGCCCGTGAATTCATTTTCCAAGTTCTGATTACCAATCCATATACCGATTCTATGTTTTATGCCTAAATTAACGGAATTTTGCGTTCGGTATTTGTAGCTCTTGTCATCCATGGCTACTTATGTCGTTTTAAGACGACTTTGATAGCCTCAGTTGACAAAATTTATATCCGTCAATCCTGAGAAAAGATCACGTTATCAGAATCGTGGTCATAAGGTCTATACAGGGTGACTTTGAAGTTGAGTCATTAATTTTCAGATAATGATTGTAGAAGGAAGATAAACCAAAATATGTGTGTAAAAATAAAAAAAAAATTAAAAAAAAAAATGTTACCTTGTTTTATAAAGTATCCTCCCGACAAGTATTTCAGTGCGGACCTGTATTTGATCGTGAGGTCTTGGAGCACCGGCATGCCGTCCATATGTGAGGTCTTAAGTCAAATGATTCACGAACCCGTTGTACTACATTAACAAAGGCACGAGGGTTTGGTTGCACGCGATTTGGAAACCGATCCGCATAAACATGTGCCATTTTTTATTTCGTTTGAGCCACGCAACAGACACCACTATTCACTACCGACTGACACTGACTGTATACAACTGAATGAAATAATTGTAAAAATATCGTTTCAAATTCTTTCGCTTTTTTGTTTCCGATGCGATGAACCGATAAGGCGGATTATATCCGTTGTCGCCAAACACGAGCACATAATATTATTATTGAGACAGGACGGTACTCAAACTTCCAAAGGGCTATAACTTTGTTACTTTAATTTTACCAGAAAAATGGTAAAGGAAAAAAACATTTCTTTTGATCAGATCTACTCACTGTTAAAATAAATGACTCAACTTCGAAGTCACCCTGTATATATATTTAAGACCAGCGATCAAAAACTACAGCCATCAAAAAAAAGGTGGAATCCTACATCGATAAGTCGTACAGCAGGGCAGAGATTTGGAGTATTAGGTCAATTTTGTGTAATATTAGCGAAAACTGCCTTTGAGATTAACAAATGGAATACTTGTAATTATTCGGAAGTGATTTTGCCTCTACCCACCAAATGGATCATTGTAGGTGTATATGTAGTGTTTATTGTTTAAAGACGATGGTATATCTCAATAATTATTGGCATAGTTGAAAAATGTATGTCAAGAAAATGTGTTTGCCTCTAAACAAGAGGTAAAATGTGCTTAAAAAATGAAATCGGTTCACGGATTTGGAAGATATGCTGAAGAACTATTGTACAAGTTAGCAGCCCTTTTTAAATATAAAGAGCACGATTTGGATGTC